TACATCTTCTGATTACTCCATCTGAACACCTGTAGAAGAGGTATGGTTCATCCCAAATATATCTCCTTGCATCATGCAGAAATTTTTTCCTTTGTTGCCATGTGAAATCTTTAGGCATTGCTCCAGCAGCTTTGTAATTTGCAAAATCTGCAAACCATGGTGGATTATTAATCGTCAAGACTTGATCTTGTACCAACTTGGAAATAATGCTTATGGACAGTATTTGCTCATCAGGGAACTTTTCTTTAATCACTACTTCCGGTCCTTCTTGTAGATTTTTCTATGTGATCCTGGATAAAAGATCAGCCACCAAGTTTTCAACTCCCTTTTTATCTTTGATTTCCACTTCAAACTCTTGTAGAAGTAACATCCATCGGAGTAACCTGGGCTTAGCATCCTGCTTGGTTAACAAATACTTTAAAGCTGTATGGTCAGTGTAAACAATCACCTTTGATCCTAACAGGTATGACCTAAATTTGTCAAATGCATACACAATAGCTAATAATTCCTTTTCTGTAGTAGCATAATTCTTCTGTGCATCACTAAGAATTTTACTAGCATAGTATATGACATGCAACAATTTGTCTTTTCGTTGGCCTAGCACCATTCCCACAGCATAATCACTTGCATCACACATCAATTCAAAAGGCAATGAAAAATCAGGTGCCATTATTATGGGTGCAGTGATCAATTTTTCTTTCAGAATGTTAAATGCATGAAGGCATTCAAACTCTTGTTCTTTCACTAACAACTTGCATAAAGGTTTTGCAATCTTTGAAAAATCTTTTATAAAGCGTCTATAAAAACCTACGTGACCAAGAAAACTTCTCACACCTTTGACATTAATGGGAGGGGGAAGTTTCTCAATAACAGAGATTTTGGCTCTATCCACTTCAATTCCTCTTCTTGACACCTTGTGTCCTAAAACAATGCCTTCTGTCACCATGAAGTGACACTTTTCCCAATTCAATACAAGATTACTATCTTGGCATCTTTTTAAAACACAATCCAAATTTTCTAGACAAGCATCAAAAGTAGGACCAAATACAGAAAAATCATCCATAAAAATTTCAATGCATTTCTCTACCATGTCAGAGAATATGGAAAGCATGCACCTTTGAAAAGTCGCTGATGCATTGCATAAGCCGAAAGGCATCCTCCAGTATGCAAAGATTCCATAGGGTCAAGGGAATGCAGTTTTCTCCTGATCTTCTGGAGCCACAGCTGTCTGATTGTAACCTGAGTATCCATCTAAAAAGCAGTAGAAAGCATGTCCTACCAATCTCTCTAGCATTTGATCTAGGAACGGAATAGGGAAATGGTCCTTCCGGATTGCTATGTTGAGTCTCCGGTAATCAATGCACATTCTCCAGCCAGTGACTGTTCTTGTGGGAATTAATTCATTATTGTCATTCCTCACAACAGTCATTCCTCCTTTCTTGGGCATGATCTGCACTGGACTCACCCAAGCACTATCTGAAATAGGGTAGATCATTCCAGCATTAAGCAACTTGACCATGTCCTTCCCCACTACCTCCTTCATAGTAGGATTGAGTCTTCTCTGTGGTTGCCTCACTGGTTTAACCTCCTCTTCCATCAATATTTTATGAGTGCAAAAAGAGGGGTTAATACCCTTGAGGTCTGAAAATGACCATCCCATGGCTGTCTTGTTCTTTTTAAGCACTTCAATCAACTTTACTTCCTCTCCTTCAGACAACAATACACTGATGATGGCTGGGTAGGTTTGATCATCTCCAAGAAACACATACTTGAGATTTGAAGGAAGTTCTTTTAGTTCCACCCTGGGTGCTCCCTTAGGAATGTCATCTACTTTCTTTTCTAACTCTTCTACTTTCGGTTCTTCCGTATAGTATTCCATACTTGTTTCCTCCTTGAATTTGTCTTCCTCAAGTGAAGAGTTTTCTTCTTCTATCACTTCTTCCACAGCCTCCTGTATGATATCTACTTTAAAACAATCATCCACATCAACAGAATGTTTAATAGCTTCAAACACATCAATGGTGACTGTTTCTTCATTCACCCTTAACATCAACTTTCCTTGTTCAATGTCAATCAGAGATCTTGCAGTGGTTAAGAATGGTCTCCCTAGGAGTAAAGGACTTTCAGTATCCTCCTCTTCCATATCTAGAATTACAAAATCTACAGGGAAAATGAATTTATCCACCTTGACCAAAACATCTTCTACCACCCCTTCTGGTCTCTTAATATATCTATCTACTAGATGTAAAATAACATTAGTGGTTTTCAACTTGTTAATCCCCAAAGCTCTGCAGACGGATAATGGCATCAAATTAATACTGGCCCCCAAGTCACAAAGTGCTTTTCCTACTTCCACATCTCCAATAGCAATAGGAATACTGAAACTACCTGGGTCTTTTAACTTCGGAGGAAGCTTCTTTTGAATAAGGGTGCTACATTCCTCCGTTAATGCCATAGTCTCACAATCTTTCAACTTCTTCTTTTTCAACAAAAGATCCTTCATAAATTTTGCATAGTGGGGCATGTTTTCCAAGGCTTCAGCAAATGGAATGTTGATCTGTAGTTTCTTGAAAATATCCAGAAACCTTGCATAATGTTGTTTCTGAATTTCTTGCTTCAACCTCTGAGGATATGGAACTTTTGCATGTGGAGATAGACTAATTGGCTTGTCTTGCTTGTCAGCCATTTTCTTCTTTTCCCACTTCATCAACTTCTTAGGTGAAGAATTGTTTTCAACAACTACTTCATCTTCTTTCTTATCTTCCTTAACTTTTTCTTTTTCATCATTTTCAACTTCATCATCTTCAACAACAACTTCTTGCTCCTCTTTCTTTTCTTCCACTTTCTTCTTAACCGGTTGAAGCACAAGCCCACTTCTTGTAGTAATGGAGTTGCAATGCTCCTTTGGATTCACCCGTGTATCACCAGGGAACTTTCCCTGTGATCTCTCAGATATTTGTCTGGACAACTGACCAATTTGGGTCTCTAAATTCCGGATTGATGCTTCGTGGTTCCTGAATGATGTTTTTGTCTCTTGCATGAATGCAAAAGTTTCTTCTCTGAAAGAATTTGAACCCTGAATATATTCTGTAGTGGTCTTAGATAACTGTGCAAAAGCTTTCTCCCATGCAGAGGTATCACCTTGTTGAGACGAATGTGGTGGAGGAGGATGCAGTGGAGGATTCAACTGATAATTAGAACTATAACTGAACCTTGGGTGTTGATTTCTATTCTTCCATGGTGGAACATACAAATTTCTCCCCTGGTTGTTATGGTTCCTCTGATCATACCATACCCCATTCACTTCTGCTTGTTCTGCAGGTCCCCCATAATCACAATATTCTGTAACATGGCCTTTTCCACAAATTGCACACACAGAATTAGTGTCCACAGAAGCAACATTTTTAGAGGATAGCTGCTTAGTGAGAGCATCCAACTGTTGTTGTTGTTGTTTTTGCATTTGCATCATCTGATCATTCTTGGCTAACAAAGCATCATATCCATCAAGTTTTATAACTCCTGTTCTTCTGTCATTCACTGGAGCATTGTCAAATTCTTGAGATGCTAGAGATTCAAATATGTCAAGGGCTTCCTGAGGAGTCTTGGTTGTTAATGAACCACCAGCTGTGGCATTCACCAATGTTCTTGTGTTGGTTGTCAACCCTTGGAGAAATATTGCTGCTTGATTCCACACTTCGACTCCATGTTGTGGACTTTTCCTCAAGAGTGTTTTGAATCTTTCCCAAGCTTCATAGATAGACTCTGATTCTTTTTGTTTGAACCCTGTGATATCATCCTTCAATTTCGCCCTGTTTGATGCTGAAAAGAATCGGGCTAAAAACTTAGTCTGTAGATCATCCCAAGTTGTGATACTTCCTTGAGGTAATCATTGTAACCATCTTCTCGCATCATCCTTCAGTGAATGAGTGAACAATCTTAACAAGATAGCATCTCTAGTCACACCATTAATCTTCAACGTATCGCTCAAAAGTAATAAATTCTCAATGTGCAGATACGGGTCTTCTGCACTGGTGCCAACAAATTATTCTTTCAGCACCATATGTACTAATGCAGGTTTCAACTCAAAGTTGTTAGGTTCCATATTGGGTCTAACAACACTCCCAATCGGTGGAATTACAGTGGGAGTCATGTAATCTCCCAATGTCCTCTGTGGTGGGGGTCTGTGATTTTCTTCCATAACCTCTTCCTGAATTGTCACATTTGATTCACCCCTTTCTTGTAACTTCCTTTGTCTTGCTGCCATTTTGTTCTTTCTAATTCTGGATCAAACAACAAAAGAGTTTAGATTAATAGTACCTCACATACAGCAGAATTGGAATTGAACAAAACTTCACACATAAATATAAATTGCTAAAAATTATAAAAATTCAATCTCAAATATTAATGGTGTCTGTCAATGTTGAAAGAACAAATCCCCGGCAACGGCGCCAAAAACTTGTTGAGACTTTAAGCAAGTGTACTAGTCGTACAAGTAATAAAATGATAAGTAAAGATCGTTCCCACGAGGATTTGTGTTCAAACACCAACTAACCATTTATAATTAAGTTGAATCAAACAAGAATTCATTGAATGCATTGATAATTGTCACTAGAATTTGAATTATATTTGGAATTAGTAAAATAACTAAAATGTGAATCGATCCAATCATGAATTATCTCCAATGTGATGTCAATCAATCTTCTTATTATCACTAAGATGTAATTCCTTAATATCTTAGTTGATACATTAATCAAGAAACCCCAATCCCTTGGTGATTCCCTTCTCAATACATACATTAATCACTGAGATTTTAAAGATTACATTAGAGTCCTAGTTCCAATCCCTTGAATAATAGAACACTGATGATGAAATTTCCAGTTACAGAAATAATATAAACATTCCTGTTCTACACTACTTCCTTAATGGAAAGAATTAACAAAGACAATCTCATACCATTACATAAAAGATAATTATAATATTCAATCAACCATACATAAATTCATCTTTGAGTTCTATTGAAATCCAACTACAAAGGATTCTACTCAGACATAGAAACAGAAATAACAAGAGAAGAGGAAAGATCAAACTCCATTGTCATGTTGTTGAATCTTCAATCTTTAGTCACAATTACATAAAGTATACTAAAACTAATACAAGACTAAGACCTAAGGAATTTAGAAATTCAGAGAATAAAAAGTCAGATCCTAAGTGTGAAGGCCCCTTGCCCTTTTATAGTTTACAAGTTCAAAACTGAAATAACATCCAGAAACTGACATGGGCGCTAAAACGCTGGATCGAGGGCTTAAACACGCTCCTTTGTAATTGTTGTCACGAACATTGGAACGATAAAATGCTCCTTGTTGGACGTTTTAGCGCTCAACTTGAAGGATGCTTAACCGCTTTTACCTGTCCTCAGCGCTAAAACGCTTGACTTGACCGTTTTAGCACTCGAGACCTGCATCTTTTTGAACTTTCCTTTGTAGCAGCACACTAAATCGTTTGCTTTGGACGTTTTAGCGCTCAACACCAGCACTTTTGGACTTCCTTTTGTAGCAGCGCGCTAAAACGTTTGCTTTGGACATTTTAGCGCTCAACACTTGAATCCTCCAAATTCTTTAGAATCTTTTTCCTTCTCTCTTTTGCTTCTTGAGATTCATTTTCCTACAAGAAAAATGTAAATTTTCAACAAAAACTTCAGAACTTTTATTTAGGACTTTCCAAGACATTAACCCTCTTTTCCATCCATTTAATCACACAAATTAAGCTAATTCATGCTTTAAAACCTTATAAATCAAGGGTTTATCACACACACACACACACACACACATATATATAATGACAAAAAATCCTAGGTCAGTTTTCAAACCCCAAGGCTGATCTTCATGGCTGCCACCTCTCATTCTTCATGAAGACTAGAGTATTTTCATGAAACCTAACCGATAAGCCACCTTTATCTCTATTTCTCTATTCGTATGCCATTGTATCATCATAAATCCTTGTAAAGCTTGAGTTTTGTGGGAGAAAAACTATGTCTTGAGAGTTTGAGCTTCTGTTTGCATAAGAATAAGGGTTGTCCACTTGAGTTTTGAGTGTAAGGACCATTATTACACTCTAGGAAGCTTCAAAAACCAAACTTTGTGAAGAAAGGACCTACCTTTTAGGGTGATTTTTGTGCACCACCAACTCAGTAGCTTGGAGCATCTTCAACGCTCTCAACGCTTCCCCAATTTTCTATTTTTAGAGGTCCATAGGTAACTATAAAAATTTCCCTTGTATTCTCTTGAAATGGCTTATTTTGTGAAGTAAAAAGGGGAAACCTTAATGATTCATGTAAAAGACAGTATATCTATGTTTAATCATGTGGTTTGAACTGCTGTATGATGAGAAATCGGACCTTGGACTCTTGGTAGCCATGGAACCCACAGATTATGAAGTAAAATCTGCAGATTTCGTGTTCTGTCTGCGTGGCGATCGATTACCTTACACATGGTAATCGATTACTGTGTGAATTAATCGATTACACTTTGCATGGTAATCGATTACCCCTTGTCAGAAAAGACCATAAACCAATTCTGATGCACAGGAAAACCCAAATTAGGGTATGATACCCTAGGGAATCATTGTTACTGTTGGAAATGTAATACAATTAATAAAGAGGGTTAATATGCTATAATTATGGCTTTAGGAGGGATGTGAGACAATAAATGAAAAGAAAACATTGTTCAATTGCCATAATTATGGCTGTTAAGTTTCGTAGGGGACTTAATGGGAAGATAGCGGGTCGGATATCTGGAGTTGCATAGAGGATGTTTGTGTGACAAACAAGAAGAGGAAGACTGGAGAGACAAAGGCAAAGGGAGCTAGTGATTCCACTACATGGAAGGACATGAGATTTGGGGGAAAAGGCATAGGGAAGCAGTTATCTGCCAGGAAATTGCCTAACCAGTTCAAGAGGACATCTACTCAGCAGGAGAGTACAACTAGACCTTCCACCATTCCCAGATGTACCGGGTGTGGGAGATCACATGTTGGGCCTTGTTCCATCGGCCAGGTTATTTGTTTCAAGTGTGGCAAGGAGGGCCATTATGCCAAAGATTGTCCCTTAGCAGTTGCTAGGGACACTCGTTGTACCACCAGTTATGGGACGTGTGTACACTCTTGATCGCCAGCAGTCGGATATAACTTCGAACCTTGTGAGAGGTACTGCTTCTATTGCTGGTTGTGACATAGATGTGTTGTTTGACTCCAAGACCACACATTCTTTTATTGCGGATCCAATTACTGTGGGGCTAAATTTTCCCATGTATGAGCTTTCTCCACCTTTGAGGGTTAGTGCCGCTACTAGGGAGAAATACGACGCTTCATCTATTTATCGGGATGTGGAATTTTGACTGGACAGTCGAGATTATTTAGCAGATCTCATTTGTCTACCCATTGTCAATCTTGAGATCATTTTGGGTATGTATAGGTTGTCCAGAAACTGTGTGATGATTGTTTACTATGCAAAGAAAGTGGTGATGTCTCCTTGCGATTCCACTACCAGTTCTTCTCCTTATTTATCAGTGTTTCAGGAAAGAAGGGCCTTGAGAGCAGGAGCATATGGCTATGTTATGTTGGGAGGTTTAGTGAGTGGGACACATGAGGATATTACCAGCATTCTTGTGGTGTGGGAATTCCTTGAGGTGTTTTCCTGAGTTTCTGCCATAACGGGAAATAGAGTTCTCCATTGATCTTTTACCTGGTGTGGGGCCTATTTCATTAGCTCTATACCAGATGTCTCCACTTGAGTTAGCGGAATTGAAGAAGCATATTGAGGATCTTTCCGCGAAGAACTTCATCCGACCTAGTGTGTCTCCACGGGGAGCACCGATCATCTTTTTCAAGAAGAAATATGGAAGCATGTGATTATGCACCGATTACAGGCAGTTGAACAAGGTGACAATCAAGAACAAGTATCCCCTCCCACGTATTGATGATCTTTTGGATCAGCTCAGGGGTGCTTGTGTGTACTCAAAGATTGATCTTCGGTTTGTATACCATCAGATTCGGGTTAAGTCGAAGGATATTCCTAAGACCGTGTTTCGTTCGAGATACGGTCATAATGAGTATTTGGTCATCCCGTTTGGACTCACCAAGGCACCGACAGTATTCATGAATTAGATGAACTGTATTTTCCAGCCGTACTTGGATCATTTTGTGATTTTCTTCATTGACAACATATTGATTTACTCCAAGAGCAAGGAGGAACATGAGGAGAACTTAAGGATTGTACTACAGGTACTGAAAAAGAAGAAACTTTATGCAAAGCCTTCGAAGTGTGAGTTTTGCTTCACTCTAGTGAAATTTCTTGGGCATGTCATTACTACAAGAGGAGTGGCAGTTGACCCAAACAAAATAGAAGCAGTGCTAGATTGGGAGAGACCCAAAACAGTTACTATAGGAGGTTCATGGAGGGATTCTCTAAGATGGTGTTGCCACTTACGAGTGTGAGGAATACTTTCAGGAGTTGAAGGAGAGATTGGCAATTACACCAGTGTTGATCCTTCCTGATCCTGCAAAGCAGTTTGAGCTATATTGCGATGCTTCCAAGAAGGGACTAGGTTGTATGTTAATGCAGACTCGTAGAGTTGTTGATATGATCCCTAATTGGAATGGCGGAATGGATCTACTAGGAATGGAAATTCTAACCCCAAATTCATCTACCAACACGACCTGTTAAGAACAGAGCGTATCTCACGCTACAGACCTAGAAATCGGACGTTTCCAAATCGAGGTGAAAGGTCTCTTTTTGAATCGCGACTTTGACTCAAGAATCACTGAAAAATGACGCGTATATCAGCAGATATGAACCGAGACTATTTTGGACGAAAATTGAAGGTTTTGGGTGATAGGGTTTGATACAAGAATTTGTGTACACAATCAAGAAACGATAACTGGAAGGCGCCACAATCCAAAGATTGATAAGCCTATGAACGCCACAAGGATTAACACCCTTGATAAGTTCTGAGATTCTCAAAAGAATCCTAGAGAAGCTAGTCTCTCACCAAAAAAAAGGTTATCTTTTTATTCTGAATTCTTTTCTTCAAAAGCTATGGTGTTCCCTTATATAGTGGGCAACATCCATATTGAGTTTAACCTAAAAGTGCTTACACATAAAAGAAAATAGACAGCCCAATAATCCAGCCCAATAAGCCTTATTACAAAAGTTTAACTGAATATAAGAAAAATAAAATTAAGTGCAGAATTTGGGCCATATCCATTGAG